GCATCCTGCTCAAGTAGCTAGGCTTGGCACTTGGCAGATGTATGGGGTTCTGAGAAGAAATCCTACCTCAGGTTGTGGAGCAATGCAAGGCTCAACACCAAATAGGGATGTCTGCCCAAATCTAGCCACCCCTCCTTTCTTCAGTGTAACATGGCCATAAAAGAGTAGGCTAGATTTGACCAATATTTCAAGGAGTATTACTACATAACTGTAGAACAGGGGAACATACGCCAAATTTTCATTTATGAAAATTGCTTAATGTTTTTCTGGGCCCATCAGTGATTATCTTAGGTATATATTTTGTTCTCTTATCATAAAATGCGAACACTGCATAGTTATAAAATGTAGAAAACAACACAATAGGCATATCTGAAGATCTTGCACTGTTTTAACTCTTTTTCTCCCAATAACTATCTTCCATTACTATCTCTGACTTGTTTTACTTTCTAAGTTAAATTTAGGGACAGGAGCTCGTCATTTTTACTGGTGTGTTAAGTTGACACACTCACTGATAGTGTTATAAAATAATAAGAATAGCAAAATGATAGGTAAGTGGAACACACCTTTGCTAAATAATAATGCTATTTCTATAGGGCTCCTCTGATGGAGATTTACTTCTGCTTTACAGGCCAGATCCAAAGGTCATTCTAAATATAAAAAATAAAAATAATGAATTAATGGAGATATCCTATCTCCTAGAACTGGAAGGGACCTTGAGGTCATCAAGTCTTACCCTCTGCCTTCACTCGCAGGACCAAGTATTGATTTTACCCAAAACCCCTAAGTGGCCCCCTCAAGGATTGAGCTCACAACCCTAGGTTTAGGAGGCTAATGCGCAAACCACTGAGCTAGCCCTCCCCTCCAGTCTAGGCTGTGGCAAGCCTCTCAGTGACTTTGATGGTCTTTCAATTGGGGCTTTTGTGCAGAAGTTACAGCAATACTTCACTCTGCTGCTGGGAGACATAGTTTTGAATGTCTTGTGCCTCATTTCTTCATAGTGACTCTTCTGCCATTACAAACCAACAGGAGCCCTGTATTATGATTTCTACAGTTCTCTAGCTGAGTTTTGTGCTTTAAAAATAACATTTTTTCTCCCTAAAATTTCTAAGCATTATTTGCAGTTTCCTTTGGGATGGAACTTTTGGTTTTGGCTATATTTTTTTTCTTAAATTATGAGACCCTTTCAGGCAGTTCTGCTTCATCTGACTTCTTCCCCAACTGCTGTACCTCTGGCCTTTCCCTCCCTTGGCCCAGCAAGCATCTTTTTTATTCTTTATCCCTTTGTGTGCCTTTTAAAGCTATTTCTGTACTTGTCTTGCAGTTGTATATTTTCAGCTAGTAAATGCTCTTCCAAGATATACCTTTGTGACTGGCAAAACAATTCCTTCCAAAGCAGTCCCCTGGAAATCAAATGTCAGCCTGCTCATTTCTATAGTGGACATAAAAATCTTGACTGACATATGGCCCAGGAAAGAAAAACCTAGAAATCAAGCTTTTGATACTATCAACTTTGAAATTTCATTCCAATTAGCCAATTTGTCAAGAAATTCTGATAGATATTTGAATGCCTTAGAGTGGATGGATTTTTCTAGTCTGTTTTTCACACAGTACAGGCCACCGTTATTTGTCTTTTCAAAAATGTAATGAAAGAGAATCCAAGCTTTCCCGCTCGTACGTATGCATATACATTTATCACTGCTACACTTATAGCTCAGGGAATTGTGCATCACAGTTACTTTAGAACCCTTGTTGTCCCCTTTGAGTTCACCCTCAGCTGACAAACCTGGCTCCCTGCACCTCTCTCTGGGTGAAACCAAGTGGTACAATCCCTCTCAGACTGGATCTCTGGGTTGCAGCCCCCGTTTCCCAATCATGTTTACCCAAGGGGTCCAACTGATTTTGGCACTGGTAAGCCTTTTGCTCTGGGAGCCTGTGACAATGACTGATTAGTGACACAAAAAACAGCTTCTTTAAAACAAAGGTAGGTAGCACACAGCTCAGAAGGCTAACACAAAGAATCCCACACACATCCTCTTACCTAGATATTAATCTTTCCTCACAAGGATTTGAAAGTTCCTGTCTGCTGAGCTAAGCCCTGTCTCTGGCTGGGAGAAGCAGACTGTCCTGCGTGCAGCATGCTCTCGCTGTTGTGTATCTCAGTCCATCTGTGTGTAAGCCTCAGTCTGCTGACAACCACCTCCTGCATTTTGACTGCTAGTTTGTGTTGCAGCCCTATGCTCTGTCATGGCATCTAGATGGCCAATTGTCGGTCAAAGGGTCACATCGGTGTCGTGTGCAGCACCTTGGTGTCGTGTGCAACACATTGGGGCCGTGTGACCATTCTTGAACCTTCCGTCTGGTCAATTGTAGGTCACATTGTACCGTGTGCTACAATTCCAGCGTGCCGGGTGCATAAGCTTAGCGTGCCGGGTGCAGTGTCTGTTTACGTAGAGGGCACCAGCTCGGAGCCTGGTTGGTGTAGGAGCGGGGAACCAATTAGATGCTAGCACGTGCAAGGGTCTTCGAACAAAACTATGTCCCTCGCCTAAATCAGCAGGAGTGTCCGCATGTTAGCTGGAAGGCCTGATCACCCTTTCAGTCAGGATCTCCCCCGGATTTAGCCGGCTCGTGTCGTGTTATCTTGGGTTACATCTTATCACGTCCCTGGTGTCTGTACTGCTGGTCAGCTGCACCTGGAGTGTGGTATGTATATATTAATTTTTGTAGATATTCTGTTTGTTAGGCCTTTTTTCTTTATTACTTGGTACCAAATCTCATGTGTAGTGTATAGAGAACGAATTGTTACAGTTCACTCAGTTTTGTATGTTTGTTCTGGTTTGTCAGTAAATAGTTGGTTGTAGATTATCTGATTCCTTGTTGTTAAGTCTACATAGACTGTTTTATATTACTGCCCTGATGATATTTTTGGTTGGTTACTTGTTCCTATTTCAATTGAATTTGTATTGTTAGTTGGTAAAGGTGCTCCTCCCCAGCCCAAGTTGTGATTCATCCTCCATTAATAAACGACCACCTGTTTTGAATTACAATCTGCCTCTGTCTCAATTTTCCTCTTCCACTTGAATCCTCATTCGAACCTGTATTGGTCTTGGACAGTTTGCTGTGGTTTTATACAAATATGATGATGATTTAATAGAACTAAAAATGTAACATTAAAAATAGACGTCTGAATTTGCATCACATTTAGTGGTTTCAGAACTGAGATAACAAAAAGGTATTACCCTACTCTCAAAAAGAACAAGAGTACTTGTGGCACCTTAGAGACTAACAAATTTATTAGAGCATAAGCTTTCGTGGACTACAGCCCACTTCTTCAGTTTTTGAAAACACTTATTCTTTCTTCTTACACAGTAACAATTGCAGTAGACCTTCTACGATCTTAGTCAATATATAGTTTTAGTTAACTATGCACTACAGTTCGCTTCCTCTAAGCCACCATGCCAAACATCAAAATACACTGAAACAACTGAGAACATAAGAATGGCCATAATGGGTTAGACCAAAGGTCCAGCTAGCCCAGTATCCTGTCTTCTGACAGTGACCAATGCCAGGTGCTTCAAAGGGAATGAACAGAACAGGAAATCATTGAGTGATCCATCCCTTGTCGTCCGTTCCCAGCTTTTGGAAAACAGAGGCTAGGACACCATCCCTGCCCGTCCTGGCTAATAGCCATTATGGACCTATCCTCCATGAATTTATCTAGTTCTTTTTTGAACCCTGTTATAGCCTTGGCCTTCACAACATAGAATCATAGAAAATTAGGGTTGGAAGAGACCTCAGGAGGTCATCTAGTCTAAGCCCCTGCTCAAAGCAGGACCAACCGTTTGGCAAAGAGTTCCACAGGTTGACTGTATGTTGTGTGAAGAAATACTACCTTTTGTTTGTTTTAAACCTGCTGCCTGTTAATTTCATTTGGTGACCCCTAGTTCTTGTGTTATGAGAAGGAGTAAATAACACTTCCTTATTTACTTTCTCCACACCAGTCAAGATTTTATAGACCTGTATCATATCCCTCCTCAGTCGTCTCATTTCCAAGCTAAAAAGTCCCAGTCTTATTAATCTCTCTTCATATGGAAGCTGTTCCATACCCTTAATGATTTTTGTTGCCCTTCTCTGTACCGTTTCCAATTCCAATATATGTTTTTTTGAGATGGGGCAACCATGTCTGCACACAGTATTCAATATGTGGGCGTACCATAGGTTTCTATAGAGTAGTAACAAACCTCAAAGATTCATTATTCCCCTGTAGCAACCCAACAAAATACTCAGAGTGGTATTGCCATCCCCTTTCTGTTACTCAGCCTCTTCCCCATCAGCCGTAATTTATTGTGATCCCCTAAATACATTCATCCCAGAACACATTGATATGCTAACTTGCTAGTGGAAATATTATTTGAATCTGTTAAACAACTGAATTTTAAACACCATTGTACAGGTGAACAATTTTAAACCAGAGGTGTCAGTTGCTGAAAGAGGGTGCTCTGTTCACACCCTGAGTAAAATTTCCATATGAAGTACATTCCTTGTATTTCAAGGGGATACAAACTTTCTCTTTCACATCTGGTAAGGTCTCCAGGTCTAATCCCTCACTGCTGTAAATGTGTATTTGAATAAATATTCAGTCTGGATATACAAATGTTTAAAAGCATGATCTGTTCTGCTCACTGTGGCCCAGATCCTTTGCTGTAACTAGTTTGCACTGGGCACAGCAGATAAAGGAAGACATGCCAGAGCCAATTATGGCTCTCTATCTCTCTTTCTGCCCTGCCCTGGGTGCAAGTTAGAGAAGCGTGGAGCTGAGCTCACTGTCAGCAATGAGCAAATAATAAATTGTAACTAATAAAAGTGCCACCACAATTTTAATCATTATGTCTATACCTTCCCTTAACCAGTTCGCTTTCCCATCAGCATTTATGCTCATGTGTTCCAAAAGTGTCTGAATATTTTTGATTCTTTGCTAAATGTTCTAAATCTTTTCATACCTATGACTGGGGTGTCACCAACACGTCCAACCATTTTATTTGTGATGCCTCCAGTTGAAGTTGCACAAGCCATGTTACCTTCACAGTCTATAGCAACTGCACCCACTGTGTCATGAACCCTAAAACACAGAGAAAACAATACTGTAACTCCAAGCTGAACAGCTGCATTGCTAGAAGCACCACCACACAATAACCATTTAGCACATAAAAATAACACTTAGTACCTAAACAGAGCTTTTCATCTTCAAAGGGCTGTACAAACATTAACTAATTAATCCTCACTATGTGCCTAGGAGGCAGGTAAGTAATATTAGCTCCTTTTTGTTCCCAAATGCAAAGACTATACTTGATTTGCACAAGCTAAAGACAGAGTCAGTGTCAGAGTGTAGATTATAATTTTAGGAATACCTGGAAAGCTGTCTCATACACAGTTTACTAGACCACTGGGCACAACAGAGATAGGAGGCTAGCTCCCTATTTTGCTATATGCACAATTTCAGGGGGTTTAGACTCAAAGCTATATTAACCAAATATTTATACAAAATATTTATGTAAAAAAATAGGTATAAAACATATTTATAAAATGTATTTAATAAATTTAAATTTAATAAAATGTAAAATGTTAATTAAAACTAATAAAAAAAGAAAATATAATAAGGGAGAGGGTCTCTGATAATATCAGGATAAGTTATTGCTCTTACCTACAAACATATTCATGCTTTTCTAATTAACAAGTGTTCCATGATTATTTTCCTGCCTAATTGTCAGTAGTAACTATGCTTTAGTGAGATGGATATACTACTTCTTGAATTAGCACAATATCCCTCCTAACCAAATTGTCACTCACAACTACTTTCCACTTCTATGGTGTCTTTCATAAAACGATCTCAAAGCACTTCACAAACATTAAGCCTCACAACTATACTATATGTGACATACATCAACTGTGTGTCAAGACAGGATACCTCATGTGGAGTATTGACAAGACAGTACTCCTTTGAGCTTTTCTGCTTGTAGTTAAAACAAAAATGCCATCATTAACAAAGGTGAGAGCTGAATTAATTCGCAAAAATTAAGTGATAGCTGTCCCTCAGTGCTGTCCTTTTACACTATGCCAACAGACTTTCTTGGGTTTTGTTCTACTTTCTATGCTAGTTGTACACAAAATTCAGCAATCTCTATGCATACTCAATCCAAATTGAAATTGTTCTGTATGATACAACACTAGTAAATGTGGATTACCATTCTGGCAGTGAGGGGCTGAGAGAGATATATTATGTCAGTGGTTCTCAAACTTTTTTTTCGCGGACCACTTGAAAATTGCTGAGGTTCTTGACGGACCACTTAATGATCTTTACAAATGTTGTTTGTACCATTAGCTAACTATTGTAAAAAGTGCTATATTTAAAAAAAAGCCCTTAATAATAATTAAAAATAAATAAAAGCTACAAATAAAAGCTCACAACTCATATTTTAATATCAGAGTCTTATCTTTGTAATGCAATGGATGTGCCCTCTCTCCCCCGCCACAGCAGCCCCCAAGCTGGGGCTGAGAAGGAGGGGGGGGTCTCTCTTCGGCAGCCGCAGCCCTGGAGCGGGGGAAAATTGCCTCTTTCTCTGGCTGCCGCAGCCTTGCACATTCCAAATTCTGCCCACCCCCTCTTTTCACCCCACTGCTTCCCTCCCATTCCCCCACAAGTCCACCACTTCACCTTACATGTGCGTCTTCTCAGGGGCCAGGCACCTAATTAGTGGAGCCACAGCTGTATTAGGTGGATGGCCCTTCATTCTCTTGTCTGCGGCTGCCCACACGTGCACCTTAGAGGGAACTATCCGTGAATGGACCTCACGGACCACTGGTGGTCCATGGACCAGAGTTTAAAAACCTCTGTACTATATTATCATGAGATCTTTATTCTATGTTGATTTGCTACAAAACCCATAGTGCAATTTCCTAAGAAATGTGTGAAGTCTTTTGAGCAGACACCTTTTCCATAGCAAAATACATTAATCTAATTCATTTTTTAGAAAACAAAAGCATATTTAATGACTGTCCAAAGGATCAAGCTCCAGCGACATACATTAACGTTGTTATTATAATGATGTGACATTTATATCCAGCACTTTCTGCAATTTAGACCTTAAAGTACAATCACTAGAGCCCAATCCAATGCTCAATGAAGTTAATGGAAATACTCCCATTGACTTCAATGGCCATGAGATCAGACTTAATACAAAGCTTACTGAAATCAGTGGAAGTCTTGAGTAAGGATCTGGGGCAAGGATCTTCCTGGTGCAAGTGCTGGAGAAACCAACTAGGGGCAGAGCTCTTCCTGACCTGCTGCTTACAAACAGGGAAGAATTAGTAGGGGAAGCAAAAGTGGATTGGAACCTGGGAGGCAGTGACCATGAGATGGTCGAGTTCAGGATCCTGACACAAGGAAGAAAGGAGAGCAGCAGAATACGGACCCTGGACTTCAGAAAAGCAGACTTTGACTCCCTCAGGGAACTGATGGGCAGGATCCCCTGGGAGAATAAAATGAAGGGGAAACGAGTCCAGGAGAGCTGGCTGTATTTTAAAGAATCCTTATTGAGGTTGCAGGAACAAACCATCCCGATGTGTAGAAAGAATAGTAAATACGGCAGGAGACCAACTTGGCTTAACAGTGAAATCCTTGCTGATCTTAAACACAAAAAAGGTTACAAGAAGCAGACGATTGGACAAATGACCAGGGAAGAGTATAAAAATATTGCTCAGGCATGCAGGAATGAAATCAGGATGGCCAAATCACACTTGGAGTTGCAGCTAGCAAGGGATGTTAAGAGTAACAAGAAGAGTTTCTACAGGTATGTTAGCAACAAGAAGAACGTCAGGGAAAGTGCAGGCCCCCTACTGAATGGGGGAGGCAACCTAGTGACAGAGGATGTGGAAAAAGCTAATGTACTCAATGCTTTTTTTGCCTCTGTCTTCACGAATAAGGTCAGCTCCCAGCCTACTGCACTGGGCAACACAGTATGGGGAGGAGGTGACCAGCCCTCTGTGGAGAAAGAAGTAGTTCACGACTATTTAGAAAAGCTGGATGTGCACAAGTCCATGGGGCCGGATGCACTGCATCTGAGGGTGCAAAAGGAATTGGTGGATATCATTGCAGAGCCATTGGCCATTATCTCTGAAAACTCATGGCTATCAGGGGAGGTCCCTGATGACTGAAAAAAGGCTAATGTAGTGCCCATCTTTAAAAAAGGGAAGAAGGAGGATCCAGGAAACTACAGGCCAGTCAGCCTTACCTAAGTCCCTGGAAAAATCATGGAGCAGGTCCTCAAGGAATCAATTTTGAAGCACTTTGAGGAGAGGAAAGTGATCAAGAATAGTCAGCATGGATTCACCAAGGGCAAGTCATGCCTGACTAACCTAATTGCCTTCTATGATGAGATAACTGGCTCTGTGGATGAGGGGAAAGCAGTGGACATGTTATTCCTTGACTTTAGCAAAGCTTTTGATACAGTCTCCCACAATATTCTTGCCAGCAAGTTAAAGAAGTATGGGCTGAATGAATGGATTACAAGGTGGATATAAAGCTGGCTAGATCGTCAGGCTCAATGGGTAGTGATAAATGGCTCCATGTCTAGTTGGCAGCCGGTATCAAGCGGAGTGCCCCAGAGGTCGGTCCTGGGGCCGGTTTTGTTCAATATCTTCTTTAATGATCTGGAGATGGCGTGGACTGCACTCTCAGCAAGTTTGCAGACATTGAACTGGGAGGAGTGGTAGATACGCTGGGGGGTAGGGACAGGATACAGAGGGATCTAGACAAATTAGAGGATTGGGCATAAGAAATGTGATGAGGTTCAACAAGGACAAGTGCAGAGTCCTGCACTTAGGTTGGAAGAATCCCATGCTCTGCTACAGACTAGGGACCAAGTGGCTAGACAGCAGTTCTGCAGAAAAGGACCTAGGAGTTACAGTGGATGAGAAGCTGGATATGAGTCAACAGTGTGCCCTTGTTGCCAAGAAGGCTAACGGCATTTTGGGCTGTATAAGTAGGAGCACTGCCAGCAGATCAAGGGACGTGATCATTCCCCTCTATTCACCATTGGTGAGGCCTCATCTGGAGTACTGTGTCCAGTTTTGAGCCCCACACTACAAGAAGGATGTGGAAAATTGGAAAGAGTACAGCAGAGGACAACAAAAATGATTAGGGAGATGGAGCACATGACTCATGAGGAGAGACTGAGGGAACTGGGATTATTTAGTCTGCAGAAGAGAAGAATGAGGGGGGATTTGATAGCTGGTTTCAACTACCTGAAAGTGGGTTCCAAAGAAGATGGATCTAGACAGTTCTCAGTGGTAGCAGATGACAGAACAAGGAGTAATGGTCTCAAGTTGCAGTGGGGGAGGTTTAGGTTGGATATTAGGAAAATATTTTTCACTAGGAGGGTGGTGAAGCACTGGAATGGATTACCTAGGGAGGTGGTGGAATCTCCTTCCTTAGAGGTTTTTAAGGTCAGGCTTGACAAAGCTCTGGCTGGGATGATTTAGTTGGGGATTGGGCCTGCTTTGAGCAGGGGGTTGGACTAGATGACCTCTTAAGGTCCCTTCCAACCCTGATATTCTATGAGTCTATGATCTGTGTGCTGGAACCTGCACTCTTATAAAATGGTGAACCCCAACACTCACTGATATCCATGAGGGCTGAGTGCAGTCAGCTAGGGTGACCAGCTGTCCCGGTTTTATAGGAACAATCCCAATATTTGGGGCTTTGTCTTATATAGGTGCCTATTCTCCCTCCCCCCCCCCATCCCATCCAGATTTTTCACATTTGTTGTCTGGTCACCTTACACTCAGCATTTTCCAGACTCTAGCCCTACAGAAAGAAGAAGGTTGCAGCTGTTTTTCTTTGCTGTGACCTTTTCTAGATGATTACACTAAATTTTAGATGTGAAATACTGAAGTAAATAGGTTTCTAGCTGACTGACCAGCTCCATATTCATTCTCTTTCTAAAATATGTGGGCAGCAAGGGATCCTGGTGTTTTATTCTTCTTATGTAGGATACTGAATACTCATTTTAAGCCAGTAAAGTGTGTCCAGATATTATGATGATGGGTAACTTATACATATTT